AGCACATTAGAAACACTATTATCAGCCATGAAAACAGTGCAATTTTCTAAAGTTTTGTATTCACAAAAAAATCAATTTTAATGGAGTCATATGGTAAGTGCATCCAGAATCAATAAGCCATTCATTCATACATACATTTTCCATATTTAAACAGTCGATAGTAACAGTAAATATATCACCACAATTTCGATCAAGTAATGTCATATTGGCTAACTCATTAACATGTTGTTGGCTACCATTATTGTTACTGTTTGTAATGCTATTAATCTTCTTTTTAGGACACTCACGTATAAAATGGTTAGGATCGCCATAAGTTATAACATCTTTTACCCCATTTATTTGGAGTTCTAGATCTATTGTTTCCTCTACTTTTAGATTTATATTTATTTTTATTATTCTGGTTTTTATTACTATTATTACTATTTTCAGAATTACCCTTTTTATTTGATCTAAAAGAAGACCTACCTCTAGTATACATGACTTCACCCTTATTGGACTTATAAATTTATAATCTAATTCTTTAGATTTTAACCCATTAATGACTACATCTAATATCACAAAATCACGCTCATATTTAATAGCAAATTTCACATCCATGTATGAGTTAGGTATTGCATTTAACAAAACTATAGCACTATAATCATCAATATTTTTATCACCATTAAGTTTTATATCTTGTATTAGTTTTGAAAAATTATCCAGATTTTCATCAATTGATTTTGACAAATCAAGTTTAAACTATTTTTTTTTTTCTAACAAATACAACCTACTATGAAGTGAAGTTTGAGTGTATAGTTCATCCAATTTGTTATATAATTCCAAAGCAGATTCTTGTTTACCTACTTTTCTAATTACATGATCTACTAAGTTAAGTATTATAATAAAGTAAGCCATTTTATCTAACTCAGCCCTCATCTCTAGAGGAACTTGTGCTATATGATCCGGCTCAATTGCTCTAATTATTCTTCGAGTGACCAAAATGCTTCTCATTTTTTGTTTCCAAATTGCAAAGTCCATTTTCCCATCAAAAGACATAATATTAAAACTAGAATTACCAACCATTTTGTTGTTTTAATAAAAACAGATTTTAATTTTCAAAACCAGTTTTGTTTTTAATTTCAAAAAATTATTTATTTTAATTTTCACAAAAACAGACTATATGGCAAGCAAATCACACGAAAACAAACAAAGACAGATTATCATACACAACAGATAATCACAGCAAGCAATTAGGCAATCGAAGAAAATATATCACCTAACTATTACAACATACATTCGTGACTATTCAACCGCGGTACTCGAGAATCACTCACAAAGTGAAGATCGGAGTTTAGTAACCTTGGTTTCACAATAGCTTTTATAATTTATTTTGGGCGCAAAAATTAAATGCAGAAATTAAAACAAACACAAAATAGTAAATAATGTGAGTTCAGGGTTATTCTTATAGCACAACAACAAAAAGTTATATTCCTCCAAAACAGTAAAAAAATCACAGAAAACAAACCTATTCTCTTCCGTAGAAAATAGAGGTTAGCCAAAACAGTTTCACAAAAACAGAAAACAAACACAAATATGTTTCTCTTCTAAAAAATTGTTAGAATCCCCGAAACAGATCGAATATTACACAATGCCGACTCAAAAACGAACACAAACAAACAAGGCTTAAAGATTTTGAAGATTTCAAACTAGATTTAGTTTGAAAATACAAAGATCTTAAAAAAATATTTACCAAACTTTTTAAGATTTAAAAACTCTTTTAGATTTTGACTCTCCAATTATAGATCTGCAAGGATCTTTAACAAAACTTTACAAAAATAGAGGCAACATAACCCGATTTACACTTATTATTTAAAGAAAATTTGAAAACAAAATTCGTTTATAAAAAATAAAACGATTTTGTAACAAACTAACCAAATCTAGACTCAAACTTAACCAAATTACACAAATTTGTAGCGATTAAGTCACAATTAACACAAATCGCATTCGACCGAGGCTAGAGAGCACGGATCGAGTGAGATTTCGGCCGGTTTTGAGTAGATCTACAAGGAAAAGAATCAAAACACTTTAAAACAGTCCGATTCAAACACATCCTTGATAGATCTAACAATTTACAACCAATATTAAATAGATCTACAAGGAAAAGAATAAAAAACACTTAAAATAGTTCGATTCAACCAGATCCTTTTGTAGATCTAAATATTTACAACCGAAAAATCTCAAAAAATAGAAAACAAACTCAATTTCGAAAGCAAAAATACAACAAAATGCTCTGATACCACTTATTATAAAAAAAATATATGAAAGGATCTAAATTTTTATTAACGAAATCGAGTAAAAATATTGCACTAGTTTTGGTTTTTGAAGGCTCAGCCCCCAAACCAACTCGGAAACACAATTCTATACAAAAACACACCCAAAAATGCAACGAACACAAACACACCGGCCTTTTACCTACGACACAAAGAAAGATAACCCCCACAAACAAAGAAACAAGGCAAACAGAAGTCTTCACGTTGAGAGATCCCCTTGCGGCTCAAATCAACAACACAGGGGGAAATCACCATGCCAAGGAACTCCACAGAGCAAGAGGAAGGCAACCGTCGAAAAATCGCCGAAAAGTGGTGAGAGAGATGAGAGGCTAGAGAGTAGGAGTTTTAGAGAGAAGATAGGAGAGTGAGATATGAGAACGACGGCCTCCCTCCTGTCCCTTATATAGGTAGGTTAAAAAGGACGCGGGTCAAAACACGGATCGCAGGTCAAGGCATGGGTAGGGCAGCGGGTCGCGGTTCATGGCGGGTCACAGGCCAGGTATGTGGATTATGGGCTGTGTCATAGGTTTGGCCCAGGTGTATTTGGGCTGCGAGAACGAGTGTATTTGTATATAAAATAGAGTGGATTCATGTGGACAAAAAATCCAACAAATTTAATAAAATATATATTTTATATAGCTTCAGAAAATCCGAACAAAATTAAATAGTTTTGGAGTTCCGAAACAAAAAAAAAAGAATTAATTAATTTTATATTTATTAAATACATATATTTTTATAGTTTCGGAATTGATTCGAAAACAAATTTCGATGTTTAATGAAGGAGATTCTGGTACTGTTAGAATGTTGAGTTAATAGGAAAAAAATTAATAGTGGAGAGAAATTGACTTGGGATTTAAGTGGAAGATTCCAATAAAATAAAGTTATAAAATTGTGGACGCACTTGCGCAATTCTAAGCACTCCCTCTATTGAAATATCATTTAAATATATGTTTAATATATTTTTGGGTTGAAAAATAAATAAAAATTGTTTTTGTAAAAGTAATATTTTTATGCTTTTTTACTATAAAAAAATTGATTATTTTCATGTATTTTTAATAAAGTTTACATTCAATTAAATAGACATCATTTCATTTTCAGTGATTGGAGGAATATTGTATAAAGGTTTGTTTGTTTGAAGGTGTGGTGAAGATTTCCACTATTCATCCTATTTTTTTCTAAAAAATATCAAATCAATCACCTATTTTTTATTTTTTATATTATACTAAAAATTAATTTTACATTCAAAACATCACATCTAACACCTATTTATATCACATCATACAACTATTCAAATTCAAATTTTTTACTATTCAAATCCCAACTCAAATTCCAAACCCCAAACAAACACACCCTAACCATATATGTAATTAATCAAAATACAAAATACAAAAAAAATTGTTGATAACTTTTTTTTTTTTTTTTTTTATCAGAAATACTTCGTTTTTAACTTGATTAGTTTATTTCTATGATATATATATATATATATATATTGTATGTATGTATAGATAGATTTCTCCGTTTAGATATGGGCGGGGACAAGTAACAAGAAAAGCCTATAGCTATTCTTAGACTCAACAATAAATATATATATATATAGGCATATATTGTTATCTACTAATCTTGTTGTAGGGAATAGTTAATCCGCACAGTATTGATTTTATAAATCTATCACATATAAAATATAGAAATAAAAAATATCATGTGATAAAACTAACTATTATATATTATATGTGAGATTATATTATGTATTGATAATTTATATATTGTTTATATTAATATAATAAGGTAATATTTTTTTTTTATTTATTTATCTACAATTTTATTTTTTCATTTATCATTATTTCTAATTATAATTTATTTATAAAGTTATTCTAAATAAAAAAACAATTAATATTTACTTGGAGATTGGTTTAACTTCGTTTGCTATGCAACCTTAGTTATTATCTTGAATATAATAATTATCTTATAAAATAGTGGCTGTGTTTGTTTAGTTTTTAGTTTGAGGTATGTTTTTTAAATATTGAGTATGGAGAATTGTATGTCTATTTTTATTTAACTTACACACCGTCCTCGAATATATTAATTTCTTTTATATTTAATTTCAAGAAATATAAAAAAAAATTTATTAAAAGTATAGAAGAATAATTATTTATGAGTATATTTATTTTTCCCGATATTAAATATAAGAATAATAATACGTATATTTGTAATTTCAAGTGTTTGAAAATGAAAATTTTGAAAATCATTTGCTTAAATGCACAATTTATAAAACGATATTTTCAAATAATATAATAAATAACAGGGAATAAGAGTGTATTTTAAGGACCAGTATTAATTTTATCAGATAATTAAGGATATTGTAAATAAAATAATAATAATTTTATATAATAATTCATTAAAACAAATACCATACTATTATTCTATTATATAATTATATAATTTATTAAAATAATAGTTATGTATTTTAGTCCTATGTAAGTTGTACAAAAATAGGAATATGTTTGATATAGGATGCTGCGATAAAATCTAAAATAAGTTGATCCATCGAGCTTTTAAACTGGCCAAGAAGTGGCTTACCTCAACCCCTTTTCAAATTTGTTTTGATATGATATGATATGATTTTATTAGATTAGAGATCGATCCTCCCACCCTTTCTTCCTCCCTCGTTTCTTTTTTTTTTTTTTGTGAACTTCATTATACAGTACATCTGCACATACAAAACGTATATATATATATATATGTATTGTATCTATCTATCTATCCTCCATAACATCATCACCTTCTTCACTTCCTCTGCCCTATCCTTCCCTCAAGATCAACCGCTCCTCCCCGATTGATCAATTGATATTAATTAATTAATTAAATCCAGTTATAGATGTCGATGGGAGGAAGCGTGAACGTGGTTGGAGGTGCAGGTGCTCACCATCGGCGGCGAGAGTTGTCTGAGCACAAGGCTGAGGCGGACGAGGTTGACGTTGAGGCCAACAATGGTGATCATTACTATATCCATCCGCCGCTACGGTACTCGCTGATTCGTAGGTGCAGAATGGCGGAGAAGTGGCTGGTCCGGCTGGAACAATGCGTATCGTGTTCCAGGGGATTTATCAAATCCAGAAAGCGTATTCAGATTCAGGCTACTAAGCTGCTGCTGCTGTTCCTTGTCATTCTCTACTTCGCCATGCTCTTCTCGCCTCTCTTCTTTCTTCACAATAATAAACATAAACATAGCATTAATGGCAAACTTCCAGGCCTAGTCATGGACTCGGACAGTATCGTGATTAATATTCAGAGTCTGATTAATGAAGTCTATTCGTCCAAGAATATACTCCTCGGCAAACACTCCTCTGACTCTGACTCTGACTCTGGGCAGAGACGCCAAGTCAAGGAATTCCCGGTTAGTTAACTGACTAACTAACCATCTCTTTCTTTAATTAACTTTCTCTTTTTATTTGAAGCAGCCCTGTTGCTGTTGACTTGTTATGCTAATTAATTTCTAATTTGTAGTCTTTGAAACGATCATCCATCCAATCCATGTTTTGATTCTTTTAACTACAGGAACCTGAAATATGGATGAAGGCCAAGAGTGACGACCTTTACAAGTGTATAACTCGGCCCCAGAATCGAATCAGTACGCCGACGCCGACGAACCATAGATTTATATGATCAGTTTAGTTAGATATATATCAGTAATGAATTTGTTTGTATTGATGCAGGAGCTGAATCCTCAACTAATGGTTATCTTCTGGTTCATGCCAATGGAGGACTGAATCAAATGAGGATAGGGGTGAGTTGTTACACAACTTACTTTTATATTCATTCATTAACAAACAAACAACGATGATTCACGATTGGGATTTTGTTAGATTTGCGATATGGTTGCTATAGCAAAGATTATGAACGCGACTCTGGTGCTTCCATCCCTCGATCACACAAGCTTTTGGAAGGATCCAAGGTATGCAAGTATATGCAATTGTTCTTTTTTTTTTGTTTGTGCAAGTATTTTTTGTCATCACAATGCATTCTGAAGTTTCTGCGCAAACAGCGAATTCAGTGATATCTTTGATTCGGGGCATTTCATAGACATGTTAAGAGATGATATAGAGATTTTGGAGAAGTTGCCATCGGAGTTTGAATCAGTAGTGCCACTGGCCAAAGCACCCGTCTCTTGGTCTAAGGTGTCGGCCATGGCCATACATATTATTTACTTCACTCTTTATTGCAATTTCCATGGAATGTGCTTCTCTTGATCAAGCTCTTGTTTTACAGGCAAGTTACTACAGAGGAACGATTCTGTCGCTGCTGCAGAAGCACAAGGTAATCAATTTCACTCACGCTGACGCACGCCTTGTAAACAATGGCCTAGCTCCTTCCCTTCAGAGACTGAGGTGCCGCGCAAATTATGAAGCGCTTCGATACACTCCAGAGATAGAGGAGCTTGGCAAGAAGCTGGTGGATAGGCTGAGAGCTGATGATGAGCCGTATGTGGCGCTTCATCTCAGGTAATTAATGATTTTGCGACAATTCTCATTGGTGTGTTGCTCGTAACCCACCTGTGGTTCTCTCGTATTTTAAAAATTATATGAAATTACATCGTATTTTAGAAAATATTGCAAAATTGAGACCGCCAGTGCTGATGATCAGGTTTGAGAAGGACATGCTGGCATTCACCGGTTGCAGCCATAGTCTAAGCGCAGCTGAGGCTGAGGAGCTCAGTAAAATGAGGCACCAAGTGAAGCACTGGAAGCAGAAGAAAATCGACAGCAGGAAGAGGAGGCTGGAAGGGGGCTGTCCGATGTCTCCTCGGGAGGCAGCACTGTTTCTCAGCGCGATGGGGTATCCAACTACGACTAGAATATACATCGTGGCAGGGGAGATCTATGGAACGAACAGCATGGATGAATTTATAGCTAAATATCCAAACACTTATTCGCATTCAACGCTAGCAACGCCTCAGGAGTTAGCGCCATTCATGCAGTATCAGAACCGTCTGGCTGCCTTAGACTACATGATAGCTTTCGAAAGCAATGTGTTTGTTTACACATACGACGGGAATATGGCTAAAGCAGTGCAGGGGCACAGGAAGTATGAAGGATTCAGGAAAACAATAAGCCCCGACAAGTTCAACTTTGTACGCCTCATCGATTCTTTGGACAAGGGGTCCCTTTCTTGGGAGGACTTTGCTGTGAAGGTGAAGAGCTTACATGAGAACAGAAATGGAGGACCATATCCCAGACAAGAAGGAAAAACTCCGAAACTAGAGGAGAACTTCTACGCAAATCCTTTCCCTGGTTGTCTTTGCAACCGAACTCAGGAGGATGAGGCAGGCAAAGTTCAACAGGAGGTTGCAGAACAAAGATAGCACACAACTCCGAGTTTTATTTAGAACGTACGACAACAAAGTTAGCCATGTACATTGTGATTTCTTCTGTGTCATATACCTTTCCGAGGTCTGCCATGTACATTGTGATTTCTTCTGTGTCATATACCTTTCCGAGGTCTGCGGCTGGTGAAGATGGCGACTTCATTTTTGTTTGAGGACAAAGCAGGTTAGTTAGAGAAATAGGAACAATTTTGCTTTAGCTACTTCTTTTGGACTGAGGTGGTTTAGGTATAGATTAGGATATGAATATTATTATTGATTACTGAATTTTTCGTTTTTCGTTTTTCTGTTTTTTCAACCCCGCACCGGGATTGAACCCGGGTTATAGCACCAAACTGGGATGCCTAATCACTTGATTACTGAATTTTTGGAGGAATATTTGAAGAATTCCCCTCATTTTCTCCTCAGAATTTGTCTCCATAACAAGTTAGTTGTGTATGCAATCAATCCATTCTAGTTTTAGAAGATGCTATTTCACAACTAACTTAACTGGAAAAGACTGAGAATCAGAAGAGGTTGGGCTTGAGAGAGAACCTCATCTCCAAAGACATGTCGTCGACCAGTAAAGCAACAAGATCATGCGTATTTGTATGCAGCAGGAGCAGGTGCATGTTTCAGGAGTTGGCTTCACTACAGGCTACCACATTGAGGGGACGTACACCTGTTCCTTGAGATTTTGAGTGGCACTTTCCGTGGGAAAGCCTCTTACAGCGCCTATCGTCCACTGCGATATTATTCCTGCTGCAATTGCAAAGCGGAGTTGCCTCTCCAATGTATCTTGATTTTCAAACACCTCAGGCACGGAGGTCAGCTTGCGCATGATTGCAGCAACAACAGCATCGCCAGAGCCGGTTCTATCACTGGTGAATGGTGTAATGAGCACATCTTCAGTTCCGACTACAACCCCATCAAATGAAGGTGAGTAATAATGCAATCTAAGCGTTCCATCTGTGACAAACAGCAACTTTAGCCCATCATGCCAAAGTGGCGAGATATCCTCCCGTGTATAGTGGTAGTAATCTCTTCGGGTCTTGGTTAGCTCGTAGTTCTCAGCATAATATTGAGGCCTGTAGTTTCTTCTTTTCTCATGATATTCTTCATCTAAAAGAAACTCCAATTCTTGCTTCGAAACCTCAATAATATCAGCCTGTTCCCAGGCCTCCTTGATCACTTCCTTTGTCTCATCACGTGATTTCCACAGTGGCAGCGGTAGATTCAAGTCGAAAAATACAAGGCTGCCAAACTTTTTAGACCATGCTATTGCCTTGAAAAGAGTAGCACGCATGGAGGTCGACGTCAACACTTCAGCATTAAAATGAAAAATCCTGGCCTGCAATAACATATCCACTATGAATTAAGTAATAAGCACTCGTCTTCTAGATTCTAATTCAGCAATTAACATCTATTTCCATTCTATGATCAATAATTTCCAGCATCACATATTCAAGATTCTATCAAGCCTCTATATCCCACTCCTAGTATTAGCCACAGCCATAAGTAATTACAAAGCAAACCGGCAATGTATGCATCGATCAGAGACTGTAAATGCATAAACATTAGTTGAGTAATATACCATTAGATTCAAATTAATAATAATGCCCCCAACTTTAGTGTTTATTTCCTCAATATCCTTAAACTAAGAAAGACAACTTATCAAGAACATAAGCAACTTATCCTATGGGCGGCAGTTAGATTGCGTGACAGCACATTATATAATAACAAATAACACATATGTAACATCAATCGCACATCATTACGTTAACATAGATGGGTGTGTTTGGTTAGGGGATTTTGCCCCCAATTTTACTATTCACAATTTTTTATTTCCAGAAAAAGCATCAAATCGAATATCTATTTTTCATTTTTTATACTACCTCCGGCCGCCTCTAAGAATTACAATTAACTTTTATACTCCCTCCGTCCCGGAACTAAATATCCATTTGCTTTTTGCATGTAGTTTTACAAATATTAGTAAAGGTAATGACATTTGTGTAATATATTGTAAGTTGTAAGGGTATTTGTAATGCTAGGCAGAAGTAGAGTTACTAAAAAAGAAAATGGATACTTTTGTTATGGGACAGGCTAAAATGAAAAAATGGATACTTTGTTACGGGACAGACTAAAATAGAAAAATAGATACTTTGTTATGGGACGGAGGGAGTAGTTTATATAATTTTAGTATAAATGTCATTATCTTTATATTATAAGACACTAATAAAAATATTGTTGCTCTTTTCTCTTAATTTGTAAAAATAATTAATGTTCAAAGATATAACCTTGGAGCCGGACGGAGATAATATTATCTAAAAACTTAATTTTACATTCAAAATATTACCTTAATGGCTATTCTATCAAATTTTTACTGTTCAAACCTAAATCCAAAATCCAAACATCCAACCAAACCGTTGCAATGGTCATACAACACATCTAACCCATACTATAATTGATTTCCGCACATAAAATATATATAATATGGTGCTTCTTATATCAACTAACACTTGAAAAAGAATGTGTTGTTTGCCTACTAGTAACCTCTCCATATCCTATCCTATGATTGCAGAAAATGAAACAAATCCATCAGCAAACAAGAAGAAGTCATCAATCTTCCCATCACATTTAAAAAGAAAGCATTGTTTGTACCTCTTTAAGCACAGCAAGATTTAATTCAGAGGCAAGCAAAGAATCCTCTGCACATTCCTTGATGGTGTCCGCCCACATTCTCCCCTCGCCAAACCTAATCTTCATATAACTACACGCAGTTTGGGCATTATCATCAAACTTCACCCCCCGTGTTTGCACCTTTTCTTTATTCATCATTAATACCAATTCTTCACCAAAATCATCGTTCCCGACCTTCCCAATAAACGCCGCTCGCCCACCAAGCCTCACATGGGAAACAGCCACGTTCGAAGGCGGCCCCCCTGGTGCTCTTGCGAACTCCGGCGGATTCCACTGTAGCATTTTCCACTGAGAGTACATATCCGGGTGCATCTGCTCCGGCGCCACTCTAACCGTCGGCACAAATTCTTTCTGAGCAGCACCGAAGCAGCAAACCAATGGCGGGTCTTCGTACGGGAAATCAATACCGTCGTCGTAATCGTAAATCTCGTCGACGCCTTTAGGCTTAGGTGCTAATTCTTCCACTTTGGAATCTGACGATTCAGAAGTTTTTCTAGTACGCCTTGAAATTTTCCGCGAAGAAGTAGGTGGTGACGGCGTGACGGAGGTGGACTTTTTCCGGCCCCGGGGGCGGGGCGTTTTGGGGGCTGGGGTATCATCACTGGACGATTTTGGAGGTCGTAACTTGTAGACATTTCCAGAATTGCAGATGGGATTGGAGAAATCGGTGGAAATTCTGACACCAATACGAGAATTTAGGGCGTAAACGCAAGACTGGTGAAGGAGGAGTGCCATTTACCGCAACAGCTCCGGGTTTATGGTTTATCCATTTCTTTTCGTTTCAGGAGATGAAGTCAAATAAAAGTTTGGGCTGGGCCATTTCATAGCGTTCAGAGTTTTAGTGAATGAAGCCGCCTGTCAAATTCCTGATTTTCAGCACACCATGCCCCTTTCCCAAATTTTAATATTTGGACTTTATATTTTTTTCAAAAAAATATATATTTTATCTCATAAAATATTTTATTAAATATTATTTTTATTCTAAACCCAAATCAATTTAGAAAATCTATTTGTTTATTTTTTCTTAATTTAAAGTGTTTTTATATTAAATAGGTAAAAAGTGTATCGATAAATAAATAATAATATTTTATGTTAAATTATTATTATTTTTTTTATAAATGTGTAAAATAGATTATTATATAATATGTATAATATTTCGTATTAAATTATTTTTTTTTTTTTTATAAATGTGTAAAATAGATTATTATATACTATGTAAAATCATCTGTTATATTGTATTTTTTATAATATTAATAGTAAAAAGTATTAGAAATTTTTATGTTCATCAATATCTTTTATTCATAATTATTTCAACATTTATTTTTAATTGGAAGTAAAAAATATCAAAATTTTAAAATATCATATATATCATACCTAAAAAGAAATATAAAAAATCTCAAATATTTAGTATACTAAAAATTTTAGTACAGGATAATATTGTACCGATTTTTTTATACGGTATTAGTATATGATTTGATATTATCGATACATATATCAAAATACCGAAATTATTTTGATATACAATGAGATTACTATATATTGTGTTGATATTTTCATATTCGATATATTGGTATATATCGATCTCGGTATATTGATACTAAAGTTATTACTCCCTCCATCCCAGATACCATGTCCACGTTGCCGTTTATGTCCGTCCCACATACCATGTCACTTTCTTTTTTTGGAAAATGATTACACACTTTAATCTCATTTTAAATTTTTAAATTTTATTTGTTTTAATTTTAATTAAACTAATTAGTTATCTTAATCTTAATTTATAATTATTTATATTATAGGATAATTATTTTTACTAATACATTCTTAATTATCTACTAATTACACCCCTCCTAAAATACCGTGTCTACAGTGTAGCAGACACGGTATCTGGGACGGAGGGAGTATTATTTTTTATTTTCTTAAATTATAAAATTATTTTTAATTTTTGATATTTCAAAAAAGTATATAGCAATGCTTTCGGTATATAGACTTATTAGTACATGCAATATATATTTGTTACCGAATTTTTAATATATTTATTTTTTTATATGATGTTAGTATATTTTTTAGCATAACGAAAGTTTCAGAATACTATACTATATGACTCAACATTTTCGGTATAACCAGATCATTCACATTTTTTGTTATCTTTAATTAGAATAGACAAAAATAAATATGATCCGATAATCTGATTTAAACAACAAACAAAATACGAAAAATAAAATTCAAATGGAGTTGAATCGAGCTAATTGTTTTAAAAATTAATATAATTTTAATTTTAATCTTTAAAACAATATATTTCATACTCCCTCCGTCCAAGAACTATAATCTCGGTTGTATTTGACACGAGATTTAAGAAATATTGATATTATATTGGTAGTGGGTTAAAAGTACGGGTAAAAGACTTTTTTGCCTTTGTGAGTGTATTAGTGTAAAAAGTAGTGACAATTGTGTAATAATAATGAAAGAGTAAGAGTAGTTTTATAGTTATATGATTATTTATGAAAATGAGACTACTGTTTTTGAGACGGACAAAAATGGTAAACAAGACTCTAGTATTGGGACGGAGAAATAATTAATAAACACAAAAAGGGTATTTGGTTGAGAGTTTGGATTTTGAATTTGAATTTTAAATAGTAAATTTTTAAAATTTAAATAGTTTTTGATACACTATAAATATTTTGATGTTTTGAATGTATAATTGATTTTATAATTAAGAGAAAAAATTGAAAAATAATAAAATAAAAATATGAAAAAATCTAACCAAATACAAAAATCTTTAATTTCTATTTTATATAATTAAAATAATAATATATTACAAATAATATAAATTTAAATTTTAAATTTTAAGTGTTATTACAAATATATACACAGATAATGTCTAAATACAAAAAATTATTTATGTTAAAATTAATTTATATCTATTTTATCCATAAAATATTAATTAAATAAAAATATATCACCCAATAATAATTATTATATCAACTAAAATCAAAACAATTATATTTCTAAAACACTTTTTTTTAATGATCATGCCAAAAAATACTTTCAAATCAAACATTTATTTTTTATTTTTTATATTATACTAAAAATTAATTTTACATTAAAAAAATCACATCAATTCTTATTTATATCACATCATACAACTATTCAAATTCAAATTTTTTACTATTCAAATCCAATCCAAAATCCAAACCCTCAAACAAACACACCATATTGTCCATGCCATTGTTTTTTTTTTCATGTCCAAGAAAAAACATACGCAACGACTCAACAGTAGATGGATAAATAAAAGCATATGGGATTATGCCTAGTGCAAAGGCTTTGTTCAATCAAGAACACCGACCACAAGAAAAAAAGTGGTGCAGTCCAACGTGTCTAAGAGCAATTGCAATGGCCAAAGCAAAAAAAAGCTTCTAAATGTGATGTGTCCAAACTGACATTTTAAATAGAAGCAGGATGACATACAAAATACACAGTGATTCTCACATCACTTAGTAAAATTTATTTCATTTTCTTGCTTCTTGCAGCAGAGATCTTTCACACCACCGCCAACGGATGGCTATGATTCCGTCTAGCAGATGATAGCGGCGACAAAGACTTCTTCATCTCCTTCAAAGCGTCGTTAACCAAAACATCAAAAGTTCTGATTTGATCGGCCGTCTGAGCTCACCGGAGCTGCCGAAACCACCACCGGTGGAGCTGACGCCTTCCACTGTGCTGACAGTGTCAAACCTTTCGAAAACCCAATAAGAAAACTATTTTGAGAAGAATCGAACACACAAATATGAAATTTAACAAATGAAGTACAAAAATCAAGCTTAAAATGAGAGAGGAATTGTTTGTCCTTCTTGTGTGATTGAAGAACTCAATGTGATAGAAAGAGAAAGAGAGAGAAATCACTTGAACATGGCTTCGCCTGCACCAAGCCTTCTTCCAGGTTAATTGACTTTTCGGCTTGAAATTTCAGGTCATTGTGTTTTTAAATTTTAGAAATCTGACTAAAAAGCATATGTGTCAGAGAAAATGGCCTCTCAAACGCGGTCATTGCAGTTGCTCTAAGCAGTGAGAGAAACTCGAGGGCAGGGTTTACAAACATTAGATAGATTGATTTTCAAATGCTCTATCCGTCTGCCTCTAAGATAATGTACAATGCAAGTTATATAAGAATCGTTCTTATATATATATATATTTTTTGTCACTTCAGCTTAAAAATTCATAAAAAATTCAATCAATTCTTATTTCACATTGTAGAATTGAAAATAAAATTTTTAAAACTTCTCTTTCTTCCGCATCAATTAATTTATTATTTTATTTAATAAAAATTTGATATTATATATTTAAAATGCATCTTTTATATATTATAATATTTTGCATTTAATAAAAAATTGTGATATTGTATATTTATGTTTAAGTAATATAATATTTTAATTTATTTTTAATATTATTATTGTTAATTTGAAAAATAAAAAATTAAACAATATTTATACATAATATTATAATAGGAAAAAATCAAAAAAGTCCCTTTGAGATTAAAATTAATCAATTTTGGTTTCATTAAAAAAAAATAATCAATTTTAGTCATAATATAACAAATTTAATCAATTTTGGTCCCACTCTCTTAAAACTAATTTTAATTGATGACGTGAACGCAAAGAGTGATGACGTGTAGCTGATCTGGACCAACACAGTCGTGTTCAATCAAACATGGCCATGTATATATAGTTAGCAATGAAAAACATGGCCGTGTTAAATTACCATAGACCGTGCTCAATTTATTGGTAGAAAAGAAGGTTGTGCAGGGATCGATTTATTTTTAATATCAAAGTAACATAGAAACCCTAACCGAATTGCAATTCAGGTGAATCGATCGCAAGTTATGATTTATGAACCAATTACAGTAAACCTTCAACAATTTCATCATCAATTAGGACTTGTTTCTTAAATTCTCCTCATGAATCGAATAAATTAGGAGATTAAAAGAACGCGGCGTGAATTGATAAAGAGACCGGAGCCACTGCAATAGACACAATTGAAGAGGGCGTGGGTAGCACGGTATGTGGTACGGTGGAGAGGAATACCCTTAGGATCGCCATAGATGGCGTTGGGAGGAATCAAACCAGCTTGACGAGGGTGGGGATGCACATAGTTGCTGCTGATGTGGCGGTGGCGCTTGGTACATCACTGCGGCGGTACTACAGGGGATTCCGATCACCGGCTCATCGTCGGACTGATGCATTTGCTCAAGGGCGACAAATTACCAGTTTCTGCAAACTTCGTCTTCACCAATAAATCGAACACGGCTGTGTGGTAGTTGAACACAACGGTGTTGTCGATGAAGTTTCGTTGCCAATTACATGTATATGGCCGTGCTCAACAGAACTCGGATGTGTTAGTCCAGATCAGCTACACGTCATCCTTTTTTGCATCCATGTCATTAATTACAATTTGTTTTGAAAGAGTGGGACCAAAATTGATTAAATTTGTTTATATTGAAACTAAAATTGATGATTTTTTGTAATGGGACCAAAATTGATTAATTTTAATCTTAATAGGACTTGTTTTGATTTTTTCTCTATTATAATTTATATGAAATATAATATATACAATAAAATGAAAAAATATATATGAGGAGAGAGAAAGATAAGAACCGTTTTCTTTCGGTTCTTGGAAGAGAACGGTTTTTATATTTTAATTTTTTTAAAAAAATTAAATATATGATGTGGCAAGCCACATCATTATATTATGGCTCTTAGATGGGGTAAGAACTCTTGTTGTAAGTGCTTTAAGGGTCACATTTACCTT